TTATATAAGATCTTAGAGGAGAAAATTAAGTACTTTATGCTTAATAACATATAAAATAACAACACTGTAATAAATACTATTAGGGAGAGATTTAAGTTCTATGGCAAGGAATAGCAAGGCCGTTGCTTTGGCCATGTAATTAATCTTATGGTTAAAGCCATTCTCTTTAGAAAGGATGCTAATACATTTAAGTCTTAGTTAGGGCATAGAGACCTCTTAGCTACGGCTAAGTATAAGCTTTAGCAAAAGAGAGGTCCTATTAGTAAGCTCTATAATCTTATAGTTATAATCTACCAATCTGATCTACTTACTATAATTCTCCGAAGTATCTAATGGCTAAAGTTTAATATATCTAAGGATCCTTAGGTAAGAATTTAGAAGCCCCTTAACGTGGTTATTAACAACAAAACCCGCTGGCTATTACAGCTATATATAATCTGCCGCACCTTAAAGCTTTAACCTTACCTCGAGATATTAGTCTTAAAGTATAAGCAGGAATAAGAAAAGGATAATATATTAAAGCAGTTAAAGCAGCTTAAGGCAAGCATAATTATGCCTACTATATATTAAGACAAGAATAAACTCGGCGATAAGGACTAGGCCATTCTAGAGGCATTCAGGGATATCCTTTAGAGCTTCGAGGATGCAGTTAAGGCGCTTAAAGGTAACAGGATTTAGCAGAAATATAAGCAGGGATATTTTAAGTCCTATAGTAACATATAGGATATAATCATAGGATATAAATTCCTACTAGCCAAATTAGAGAAAGCTAAGGCTATAGTTAATTAATATCCTAAACCTAAGCACTTTAAGGTTAATATTAACCTCAGCTAGAAGAAGCTTAATAAATACTATAATAAACTAAATAAGACTCTAATATATTATACCTCGCTAGCACTCTACCCTGCTTATTGCTAGGGTTATTTTAAGATAATATAGTCTAGATATCTAGCATAGATTTCCAAGGCAAAAGATATAATACAGTCTATTTAAGACAGAGGATATAAGATATTAGAAATTTCTACAGAGGATAATAGTAAACTAGCCGCAAAGCATCAGCAGATACAGTATTATTCTCCTTTTAAGCAATATAAGGATAAAGCTTAGATATATCCTTGCAAAGAAATAGACTCTAATAATACAGAAGATAAGTATACCAGGTAGCAGAAGGATATATTACCTACAGATAATATAATTCAGGATCTGCTTAAGTATTAGTATATATAGCTATTTAAGTACCCTAGGCTATTACAAATAGCGGTAGACTTTATAATAGTCTAGCCAATAAGCACTAAATGCAAGAGACTATTCTCGGCGGTAAGGCGCATAGTAATACCTCTTCAGAATCAGCTGGAGGCAAATACTATTGCTATTTGCCAGGTACTATAGTTATAGCTGCAGGCAGGCATTATAGAGGAAGTTAATCCTATGCTGTTAGATAAAGTGGATAATATAATAGGCAAGGTCTCTATGGAGGAGAAGTCGGTAAGCGAATGGCTTAGGGATTTGCTAATGCAGATGCGGGAGGAGGAGACAGGGTGGGAGTAGGCTTGCGTTGGCCGTTAGGTTTCAATTTCAACCTGGCGGTGAAAGTAGGACTACACGGCATGAGGCGCTGGTCAACCATTAACGCAACACCAACCAACTCAATATAGGACCTGGGTTGATTAACTCAACAGAGGAAATGCTTATTAAGCAGTCAACTCACTCAATTGAAGGCTGAGGTTGAGTGGATTGCGTTGATCGCCACCCTGGTGTCAGCCTTCAATTTGGCCCAAACTCCACTGTCGCGGTTTTCAGGGGCTGCACCTATTGCTGCTTTTGCTCGTCACAACTATAGTCCCCAGGTGCGGGCTTCATCATGGCCTAAGCGATGTTTCCTGATGATGTGCTCCCGCCAGGGAGTATATACGATTCACGAGAGGCTCTGCTTGCCGCTATTAATGAGTGGGCAGCACCGAGAGGATACGCGTTCATAACTGGAAGATCTTTATGATTAACTAGCGGCAGGCAGATTATCACCTACGCATGCGATTAATGGTGTCGTCCGCCTAGCGTGTTAAAAGATTGCCAGCGTAAGACTACTACGCGAGGAGCTAATTGTCGGTTCTTAATTATTGCAAAGGAATCCCTAGATAAGGCGACTTGGTCTTTAAGGCATCGTCCGGACATCCGGTTTTATTTACATAACTACAAGCTAAGCTGGCATAAATCGGCCTATCTAGTCCATTGGCAGCTCTCTGATGCAGACAAGTCGACAGTTAGCCGCCTTACGAATGCAGGAGTAGCGCCAAAGGATATCAGGACTTATATCCGCCAGAATTCGAACACTATTGCAATGCAGTAAGATATTTATAATCGTATCGCAGATAGTAAACGAGAGCTTTGTGAGGGTCAGAGCACTATAAACGCCTTTGCTAACCAACTGGATAAGGAAGGGTTCTGGAACCGAATGCGGCTTGATTCGGTCATCCGAATCACGGCGGTGTTATTTGCCCATCCAGAGTCATTAACATACCTTTAGGCCTACCTAGACCTGCTTTTCCTTAACTATATATATAAGACAAATAAATACAGGATGCCACTGCTTGATATGATTGGCGTCGATGCCTGCTAGCGATCGTTCTGTATAGCCTTTGCATTCCTTAGCGGCGAGACTAAGCAGGACTACCTATGGGCCTTGGACCGGCTCAGGTCCCTGTATGAACTCTACCATACAAGGCTTCCATCGGTTATCCTAACAGACCGCGATAAGGCTTGTATGAATGCCGCAGAAATCTGCTTTTCATCCTTAATTTCACTCTTGTGCCTATGGCATGCGAATAAGGCAGTCCTCTGTTATTGCCAGCTGACATTTGTGCGCCACTAACAAGGATCAGAGGCCGACCAGCAAGGTCTGGCTGATTGGAATAAGTTTTTAAATCGCTGGCATTCGATTATGAAGTCACCGGATGAAAAGGCATTTAATCAGCGCGTGCAAGAGCTTGAAAGGCGCTACTTACCACAATACATTAAAGAGGTCGGCTATATCAAGGCCAATTGGCTTGATCCGTATAAGGAAAGGTTAGTGAGGGCTTAGGTTAATTAACATCCTTATTTTAGTAATGTAGTTACCTCGCGGGTTGAGGGTATCCATGGGCTCCTTAAGAGCCACCTCAAGAAATCCATGCTAGATCTCTTCGAGGCTTGGAGGGCTATGAAGCATGCGCTTCTCAATTAATTAGCCGAGTTGCAATCCAACTAAGCCAGCCAGCAAATGAGAATACTAATCGAGCTCTCTGGATCACTATATAGTGCCATACGTGGCTGGGTATCTCACGAGGCTTTATGTAAGGTGGAAGAACAGTGGAAGCTGCTCCTAAAAGAACACCTGCCTATTTGCACCGGTGCATTCTCTAGATCTCACGGCCTCCCTTGCGCCTATACTCTCAAGGCTCTACAAGAGCAAAATCAGCCCCTTCGCCTGGAGCATTTTCACACACATTTGCACCTCAATCGCCATGGTGTTCATCGGTTACTACTGGAGCCTCGGCATCGACCTGATTGGATAGCCGCCGGTTTGAGTACTAGTAGAACACAATCAAGCACCCAGAGAGAGCCAAGTGCATTCGAGGCAGTTCAGGCAACAGCATGGCCAAAGGCATAACCTAAATGCAGCAGATGCCACCAGATAGGTCATACAATGACTTTAAAGACATGCCCTTAACGACACGAGGAGCTTTTGAAGCCACCAGCACCGTCGGCGCAGGCAAGACCATTGCCCACGACATCTTCATCAGTATCATCCTTGCATGCAGGAGAAGCTCCAAGACCAACGTCTTCAGGATCATCAGAGCAGGCAGAGTCAGTAATAGATAGTTCCAGTTGCATTATCATCAGTCTCGACGGCGCGGACAATATAGTGCCGGCAGCGTCATCAGCAGCACCACCGGCACAGACAAGGATAATGCCGATATTAAGGTATGATGATCCTCGGGCTATCTATCAGAGATATGTTGCTGCTCGAGATGCTTGGTATAAGGTGCAGCCTCGTGGCAGTATTAAAACTAACCAGCAGTATCGGAGGGCGCTAGGTCTACCTCTGCGGTACGATAAATCTAGCTATTAATGGTGTCTCGATTGGAAGCAGATGGGTAAGCGCTGCGATACTCCAAACGGCTCCAGAGATTGGACTAAAGAGGAGATGATGGCCTATCTAGATTGGAGCAAAGCGGAAGATGACTGCGTCGAGGCTTAGGTAGCTGCGGAGATAGAACGCAGCCCTTTTTCCGGTAGAAGAGGTATGTATGATATCTGGGAGGCGGCAGCGGTAGATAGTGAGGCCTAGCAGGCCATCCATTCCGGTAGATAATTAAGAATTCATAACCGTTTAGGATCATAGTATTCTAAAAAGTAAAAACTGCATTAGAACGCAGAATTTCGACAGCGGAGTTTGGGCCAAATTGAGGGCTGACATAATCCGCACGCCTACGCGTTCAGGAGTGGAGGCGCGCCTAGGCGTGTCCCTATGGGGCCCCTAATAAAAGTTAAAGTTAATTCTCTGGTCTAGGATTTGGATCCTATATATAAGGCCTTGTCTCATGCAACTAACCTCAGGGAGCTCTCTATTTATAATAGTAAGGCGAAATTCCTCAATTTAGACATCATTTTAGAAGTAACAGGAGTTGATTCTGAATTAGAATATTTAAGGCTTAGTGAGTTTGAAATCTCCGGAGAACAACTATAGGCAGCTCTCATCGACGTAGAACCTTACATTAAGAACATAAATCTACAGAGAATGATATTCGCCGATGAATTCACTTCTTTTATTAGTTATATCTTAATTTTGTCTTTAGGTAAAGTTTTCCTTAAAGATATCAGAAACATATCTACTGTCTACAAGATGAGAACTCAGAAGTGAAATCAGGTAGTCTATCTAGCGATGGCGTCCCAATTTGTAACCGGGAAGCAAATGTGAGATGCCAACAATTTCGGTCCATAAAGGGGCTGTTTCCCATTGATTATACTGCGCCAACACCAGTAGTATCAGGAATATGATATATGTACTTGAAGGCGCTGGCCTTCCCATCTTTGAGGTCCTGAAGGCCGCTCTCAAGTCCATATAAACCTCCCGGTACTCTTTGGTACGGGTGACCTGAAAACCAACCCTCTTGCAGCCCACGCCCAATCAACCTGTAGAGCATGAAACCAAAGTCCTTCACTCCAGTCTTTATACCTGCTTTACCTTCAACACTCTCCGGATCAACAGCTCGGTGTACAAGTCCGACCATGGCCTGAGATAAGTTCACCGAAGCGGGGATTTGTTCCCGTTGACTGGGCGGTAAGACTAGAGTCAGATTCCCGTTCGGCTCCAGAACTTCAACAATGTTCTGGTAACTTCCTTTTTCGCTCACAGCATCGAATGCATACTCTAGCTTCTTCCCTCCCAGGGCTTTCTTCAGGCGCTCCACCAACTTCGCATCGCCTGCTCTGTAGTCGATTATCTTGTCACCCTTCGTGCGGTCGATGATAGTCTCGACATAAGCAGCTCCAGCCCCAGCGACACTTATGATGGGATGGATATTGGCCAGAGAGGCTAACTTTATAGCGAAGGCGCCGACAGCTGTCGATCCACCGTAGATAAGCAAAGGGGAAGGGGTCATTGTGGGTTCCCATGGCGTTGGCAATCGCAGTCGATAATAAAGGGCGTGTGCGGCTGTCATCACAGCCAGAGGTATGGTGGAAGCTTCTGCTTTGAGTAAGCCAATGTTAATAATTCGCGTATTGAAGCTATAATTCACCTTCAAAGCTGGTCTTCTTTGGGATGGGAAAAGTAGTATGGCTCCATGCGACTGCGTACTCGGCGAAACCGCCGTGAGCTTCTTTCATTTGATGGAAAGCTGCGACCCTATCTCCAAGTTTGAACTCATAAACATTAGAGCCGACAGCGTGAATAGTTCCAGCAACGTCATCACCGCTGTTATGAGCCTGGCCTCCCCATTTAGGCAATTTCCAGTCTTTGGGATTGGAACCGGAATAGATCACTTTGATGACAACTTGGTCCGGCCCTGGAGATGGGATAGGAGACTCGGTAATCTCTACCTTACCGTCTGGGTGAACGATTGCCTCCTTCATTTTCGGTGATTGTGTATATGCGATGGTGGATGTAAGATGTCGACTAGTACAGTGCACGCGAATGCTGTTCTGGGCAACGTACTTCAGGTTTTTTGTTGTTGAGAGTAAGATACGTCAGCAAATTTGCAGTGCGAATTTGGAGGATAAATTTGTCAGAAAAGGAGGGGAGGAAGTCGTTAGAGATATCGCAGTTGATTTGTAAGGGTTTGAAAACTGTATGGCAGTAGTCGTTGTCTAATTGTCAGCCCGTTGCTGCATCTCGGCGGATATCAAGACTTCAGCTTCGGATCGGAATTAGTTCGGAAGAGTGGGGCGCTGAAGGAGTAGTTTCACGGGCCCCGAAGCATGAAAAACTCGGAAGCGTTAAAATTCTAATAGTCGGAACGGAACTTAGCTTAGTCAGTATTAGGTTCTGAGCTACACGAATCAGTACTTGCAACGGAATAATTTCACAGTTCCGAGTTTTTCACACTTGTGGCCTATTTCGAGGCTGAAGACTCGGACACCAGAAACGCTCGTTTTTGTTTGGTGGTATCATCAGCTATTCATGGTAGCCGTTCCGGTGCATCTCAATGCAGTCGATGAATGATAGTGGGACTCCATCTCCCGGAATGAGCAGAAATATTTCCCTCGCGGACGGTGCCCGCGCGAAGCGCCAGAAGATAAGCGTTGCTTGCAACCCGTGCAGAACGCGGAAAGTGAAATGCGATGGGTTGAGACCGAGTGAGTATTGTATCCTCTGCTGTAACACGACCCGGCATGCTGACAGATGGCTCTCCTAGTCTGTGGCGTCTGTCTAAAGCGGAAAGATAGGGGACTCTCCTGCTCATACAGTGTCCCGAGCCCACCGAGATCTGACGGTAGGCCTCGCTTGAGCACAGCGTCTGAGCAGCAAGCTGGACACGAGGACTTGGACCGAAGTCCCATTGAACGAATCCGCATACCAATCGCTCCTGCACAACTAGAGCTGAACGTCGATTTGGCGAAAGGGACAAGTCGACCGCCTCTGGCAACACAAGTTCCTTTGGCCGTCGACTCAATGACCGGTGCTACTGGCTCAGATAACCACGTCTCCTTTGGAAGTAGCAGTGCCAGCTCATTTATGATGCAAATCAAGGCTGCCATCGACAGGGAGTTTCAGGTTCTAAGCCATCGACAGTCGCAGCCCGAGTTCAGCGAAATTTCTATACTTACACACTCGCTATGGAGCCAAAGTGAAGGAAACAATGAGCGACGACTACAATACGTACTGCCGTCTCGAAAGATTGCAGATGAACTCACTGCTACCTATTGGGATGTCGTGCATCCGCTATTCCCCTTCTTGGATCGTGCGAAATTCGAAAAGTCGTACCAGTCAGTGTGGACTGGCGAGGTTTCAAACAGAGACGAGCGCATCCTTATATCCACTATCAATGCGGTGTTTGCCTTGGGTTGTCAGTTGACTGATACCATTGCACCTGAACAAAGAGCAGCGACTTCGATGGTCTACTTCAAACGAGCTGAGGAGGTTCTTGGTCTGGACTTTCAAGCCACGGGCTCTATAGAATTGGTTCAGTGTCTTCTACTCATGGGCCAATACCTTCAAAGTACTAATGCTCCATACCAATGCTGGATGATTGTAGGTAATGCAATCCGTATCGCGCAGGGACTTGGACTTCACTTAGCTCACCATAGGTCCCTAATCCTATCAGCAGAAGAGGTAGAAGTAGCCAAAAGGAATTGGCATGGCTGTGTTCTAATGGATAGGTAAGGTTGGAGTGTTATCATCCATCTTGCCATTGATCTTGACAGCTCCTAGGGTCCTCTCTATGACATTTGGCCGCCCCGTTACGATATCGAAGACACTAGCAGCTTCTGTACCTTTACCTTTAGCGATAGGTAATGATGTAGGGGGCCATTCTCATGTGTCTGTCAATGAGCTTAGCCACGCTACCTCCGGAACTGTCTTCTTCGTCAAGACTTTAGAGCTCTTCGATATCGTCAACGATATTTTAGCTGCCCTCTATACGTCCCATGGCAATATGTGTAACGGGGATGAATTGGGTCTATCGTCAGGTACCCGGGTGGCCCCAAACCTAGCAACTGTATTTGGCCTTGACGATGCATTAATGGCTTGGCCTCGAAGTCTTCCTCCGCATCTTCGCATCTCTTCGGATAGGTCATCTGAAAGCACGATATCTCGACGACAAGCTATACTCTGTAGGACTAGGTAT